CGGCACGGCCCCGCCGGCCGCCGCCACGTCTCGCGAGAGGAGCGTGGGGGCGCTCGGAACCGCGCGCTGCCTCACAGCGCCCGGACCCCTCGGGAGCCCCCGAGACCCCTCAGGCCCCGCCCGGTCCCTCAGACACCCCCGGAGCCTTCACACACAGCCCCGGACCTCCCAGGTCCCCTCAGACACCTCCGGAGCCCTCACGCACTCGGACCTTCCGTGCACACTCCCAGGTCCCCTCAGACACCTCCGGAGCCCTCACGCACTCCGGACCTTCCGTGCACACCCCCAGGTCCCCTCAGACACCCCCGGAGCCCTCACGCACCCCACACCTTCCGTGCACACGCCCAGATCCCTACAGTTTCCCCTCCAGTTCTTTACATAGACCGCCGGACTCCTCATACACACCCCCAGATCTCCTTAGACACCTCCTGGATCTTTCACACACACACACCCGGACCTCTCACACACCCCCTGGGCCCCTCATAGACACCCCCAGTTCCCCTCACACATACCCCCAGAGCTCTCACATGTTTTGGTGCCTCACACAGCCCCTCGGACTGTCATATACCCGTCGATCCCCTCACATCCCTCCTGTTGCTCACACACACACACCCTGGTCCCTCACATACACCCCCAGATCCCCTAACAAACCCCCGGTTCTTCACACACCCCACGAACCCCCTCACATCCCCCCATTTCCTCAGCCACCCCACAAAATCACAAGACTGGGTCAGGCTGGAAGGGACCACACGGGGTCATCTGGTCCGGTCTCCATGCTCCGGCAGGGTCATCCCCAAGCACATGGCACCGGATTGTGACCAGACGGCTCTGGAATGTCTCCAGAGACAGAGACTCCACACCCTCCCTGGACAATCTGTTCCCGTGCTCGGTCACTGCACAGGGAAGAAGTTCTTCATGCTCAGGTGAAATGTTCCTGTGCATCAGCTCCTCCCGTTTCTCTTGCCCTGGTGATTGACCATCAGCAAACCAAGCCCCACTCCATCTCCCTGGCACCCCCCTCTCGATATTTATAAACAAGGATGAGGTTTTTTTCTCAGCTGCCTCTTCTCAAGGCCTCTGAACAGACCCAGCTCACTCACCTGTCCTCATGAGAGATGCTCCAGTGCCCCCAGCATCCTCATTTCCCCTGGACCTGCTCACACATTCCCTGGTTCTTCACACACCCCCTGCACCCCTCACACCCCTGGGCCCCTTCACGCACCGCCTGGTTCCTCAGACACCCCTGAACCCCTCACCCTCCTGGACTCCTTCACACTCCCCCTTTGGATCCCCCTTTTTTACCTTCCAGCCTTTGGATCTCTGCCAATTGCACTGTAAAAACCACTTGCATAATAGATCTAATGTCAGTAATGCCTGTTTCTGTCTCCTCTGCTGCAGTTTTTTGTCCCTGTTCTCTTAAAGTTTATTCTTTCTCCAGAAGCATACATGGTTCTTTGATTTGAAAAGTGAAGTCGTTCTGCCTCCTCTCTCTCACTGGAACATAAGTGCCTGGATAATCCATTAAAGCATATGAAGTTGGCTCTTTGTGAAAAGAAACCTCAGATGGGAGTAAAATACTTCAGCTTCCATAGTCAGAATTTAAATAGGGACTCACCAGTGATTTTTCATTGTGTATTTCTGTTGTCTTTATACTTGAAGGTAGCAGCTCACAGAATATCATGGGAGGTGGGCTTTGTCTCCAAAACAGTTTCACCTTATTTAGGTTGCTAAAAATCATCAAGCAAACATTCATTTCAGTCAGGCCTCTTGAGCTATGCCACTTCTTTATGTCAATGACATTTTAGTTGGTACTTCTGGGTTCCAAATATTTTTTTTTTTCCCTGATGTGAAGTTGTGTATGTTTTCCCCCTCTGCATAGCAAACTCTGTCTGCCAACATCCATTTTCTAGCTCAACACATCTCTACTGTTTTATTTCAATTAACAACAAACCTGGTGACGTCATCCAACACAAAAGGACTGGAACTATGAAACAAAGCTCGCTTTTCCATAACAATTAGAGGAAGAAGTATTTCAATTCTAGGGATGTGTACATGCCTAAAAAAGCTGAGGATGCCTCAGTAGGTTAAAAAGATGGGTACACTGATCCTTCTTTGTTTAAACACTGTTCTAGAAAAACAGAAAAAATCATATACTTCAAAATAATTGGAGACATTCTTTGATAGACGCAAATTTGAAAAGAAAAAAGATAAAATATTTGAAACATTCGGCAAATTTTCAGAGTGTAAAGAAAAGAAAATGTGTGCAAACTGGAAAATAAACGATTAGGCCATGATGAAGTTTTTACTTTTGTCAGGGTGCAAAGGATTGTAAAACAGCGGATGATGAAGGGAAGGAGTCAAAATAAAAGATTTCTGTTCAGAACTGAAGGTAAACAGCACCTAAACAACAGATTATATGCAAAGAAAATCCACCGTACATTTTTCATAATCAGACATAAGCAGTTCTTGATTAACATCTGCATAGAATGTCATGTGATAAGGTGTTTGGAAACAGTTTAGACTTGGAAATGGCAATTTCTGTCAGTTTCCCATATAAATAAGTGAAAGCAGAGGAGAAGCAGTTAGTGAAATCCCATGGGTGTTATACAATTGATGGTGGTGGAATGACACTGCAATATTTAGGTATTTGAAAAGGACAGTCTTCATGGACGAGTGGATGTGTTTTGGCTGCAGTTTCAAGGCCCGTGGCCTGCCTGGCGTCAGTTCTTCACATTCTGTGGTTCCATGGTTGTATGAATGTGAGATAACGCAAAATACTGAAGAAAACAAAAAGCTGAGGATGCTACCACAGCCCCCAAGAAAGATAAGGGAATGAAGGACACAAGGAAAAGACTGATGAGGAAAATGCAAGCCTCTCAGAATTAAAAGGATCAAAAAGGTGAGGAATTACCACTGTATGAGAAGCTGGCAGCAACAGCAAGAGGAAAATGAACTGAGTTTTCATCAGGGTTCTGGGACTTCATGTAATCCATGGGAAAGGTGAGAGATTCTGTAGCTGTAAGGGAGAATGAAGGGCACACAAATTCCCATTAACTGCCAATTAAAATGTCATCAATACTAAGAAATACTCGTTGAGGGAAAAAAAAAAAAAGAATATTCACTTTAAGCTCATAATTAAATGGTTTCTGACATACCACTGCTTAAAATAGCACTGCAGGAGAGTTTGGGTGTTATTGGTAAAGAAAATAGCATAACACATTAAATAAAAGCAAGCAATAAATTACTCCTATTCTGGCCACAATTGTTTACCACAGAACATTAGTAATTGGGGTTTTTGCTTTAGAAAGGGAGGAGGGAGGAAGTGTGGAGGTTTTCAGTATCCTTTGACAAACTTTTTCTGCTTTGGGCTTGCCGTTTGTGAGCCACACCAGATACTTCATAGGGCTCATTTGATAACTAATGTGAAACACTGGAAAATGCAAACACTTTATGCCATTGTGATTGTTCTGGTCATTTAGACTAGATCTCATTCCTGTGTGCCTCTTTGCCAAGCAGAAGAGCTGTAATTTTAAGTCTTTCTCTTCCAAAGTGCAAGCAGATGACAACTACTCATTTTGCCTACTGGATAGGGCCTTTTCTTCTCTGAGAGCTTTATCATCATCATCACCATCATCACCATCATCATCATCATCGTTGTCGTCGTCATCATCCACTGGCCTTAGGTTCTTGATGGGCTTGCTGTTCCATATTTATGTGCTAATTTAATTTTTTTTCCTGTATTTTTTTTCTGTATTGGGGCATTCATTTCATGTTCATGTTCTGTTTTGACTTGGTTTTAACACATTTCAGCTTTTGCATGGAAAAGGTTTTCTCTAGTAACTTACCTTATTCCTGCTGTTTGTTTGGGCCAACTTCCTTCAACCTTTCTCAAGACATTCTTGATTGGTCCAATTTGTCATCTCTCCATAATTTATTTTTTTTTCAGCAATTGGCACCTCTAAGAATTCAACTCCTTTAGTCTCCTTATAAGCTTTGTCTTAGATGTTTCCTCATTTTGTTGGATTTTTTCTTTTTTGGTGAGCATAGGTGGATTTGGGGATTTTGTGTGGTTTTTGGTCCTGTAGAGTAAGCTCAAGTCAAATTTCTATGCAGTCCTTCAGTGCTAAAATTTTAGAGCAGGCTCTGTGCATGTGCTACTTGAACCATAATGAGGGTATTTGCCCTCTTGAATTGTCATCTAGCTAGTAGCTCCTTAATGCAGTCATCATTAGAATCTAAAAATGTTGTTTGTGCATCTTGTCCCCCATTTCCCCAGCTCACACGCAGCCTGATTCTTTGTTCTGCTTTTTTCTTTCTTCACTTCCTTTATATTATTTCTTTCCTTCAATTTTTCCTTCCTGCTCCTTAGAAAATAGAGGCAGAGTTAACATTTGTATTCTCCTACTGTGCTGTTTATTGTGTCCTTTATAATTATTACAGGTGTTCATCCAAATCAGGTTTAAGTAATAATGTATTTTCCAAGAAATCTGGATGAAGTCCTAACAAATACGGTATTGTCATGTGGTAACTTACCTGTATTTGTATTACACTAATCCTAGCTTACAAGGAAAAAAAAGGTAATTGCAGCAACACTTTTGAAAGGCTGCCAGATAAATCCTATGATTAAGACACTTAGAAATGAAATCCATTTGCTGGCAGCCGGATGTGGTGCCGGAAAATCTCTTCCAGGGGGCCTTTCTTGTTCTGTTCATGCCTTCATGTGTCCCTGTGTGTCTTCAGTACTTCACTGTCCTTGTTTTTATGGACCTGGTGGGAGTGAGACCACCACCATAATTATG